CTGTACGGGCGAAAAGGGGGGGGGGGGAGACGGGGAATATCCGCGTAACCTCCTTGTTGTCATGCCATGACCCCCCGGTGGCCTCTGGTCTTCCCTCCGCAGTGAGCCCCGGTGCGACAGCCCCGGCTACCCCCGCGTGGCCCCGTGGGCCGGCCGCCCGGGCCCGCCCGACGCGCACGGCTACCCCGCGGACGACCCCGCGCGTTACCAGGGCGAGCTCGGCGAGCTGGACGCCCAGGGCGACCAGTATATCTACGTCACGTACCCGCCAGACCTCAAGCGCCGTCTGCTGGAGAGGTCAGTGCCCCCGGCGACGACGCCCCCGGCGACGACGCCCCCGGCGGCGGCTGCGGCTCCCGGCGACGACGGCTGACGCCGGCCTCGTCGGGGCGCCACCCTGCTCCTGACGCCACCCCAGCCGGGTGCCTTGTCCCCAACGAGTTTTGCTCTCATTCACTCTTATCAATAGCTGCAAAAGGCGCCACTCCATTGCCTCCGGATCGATGTGGGAAACCTCTCGACGTACCCCCTTTTAAAAGGGCGTCGAGATTGCTCCCTCTAGAGCCGAGAGGGATTGAGTCTATGCCGAAAGCGGTAATAACGTCATCTCAAGCAAAAACGCGTAGATCGAACGGGTTGTGAGTAGACATATTTCGGCCTTAGTTTTGGATGCAGTTCAGTTGTTTATTCACTTGCTGGAATTTCACTCTGTTGTGTTTTTATTAGTGTGAGTAACGAGTAGTCTTTTACGGCCGTCCCTTGCCAATGTGGGACAATAACGCCGTCATCGTAACTATTTAGAGATTGGCCAGTTCATTATTTTTCTTCTAGGAACGGTCGCTTGTTGGTCTTAGCTCTAGCATACTTAGAGTCGACGTACCTGTATTTGTTGTGAGCCTCTTGCTAGCGTATCGTTGGGCCAGGCGTGGCCACTTTTAGTTAGAACCCCGACGGGAGGTTGTACTTCCCCGGCCAAGTGCTGCGCGCACGATGTCCTGAGGTGACGCCCGTACCGTCCACGCAGATGCCAGAATTATATCGTTTCGGTCCTTTTGACGAGCTGCTGTCGTGACGGATTGTACTTGTTCTCTATCATTCTAGCTGCTACAACAGAACCACGCGTCTGTGATGCAGCGCTGCGCTAGCCAACTAGCTAGTGCCCTGCGCCCCTGCTGGCTAATGGTCGCGCTAGCCAGCGTTCTCCCCCCAGGGGTGTCCAGGGGCTGTCGGCCGCACCTCGGAGACACCCCAGGGGTGACAACCCCCTGGCAGGCCGGCAGAACCTCCTCGACGTAACGACACCCGACCAACATTCCAAAGGTGACGCGACCTGGCGACCTATGGCGACCTGGCGACCCGGCGAGACCTCTCCCTCCCCGAGGAGCGAGCCTCGCTCACGGTCGGGTCGAGGGTCTACCTCTCACCGCTGGTCGTCTTGCTCTCCCCCCTCACCGTCTATCGCCTCCACAACTGCTTGCCTGAGCCTGGCCTCTTCCTTCTCGTCCTGCTGCTAATCTGTGGCCTGCGCTTGAATGCATGAACACTCGCTATTTGCTGACTGACAGGTACACGTTCGTTGCTTCCGTAAGATTTTATCACGTTATAAACTCTCTTTTTTCATTTTTTGGTAAAATCGGGTAAAATGAAATATATAAATTCATATATTTTAAATTTCCGATTGGAGTAACGACATACTGTCCTATGTTACATGCTCGGTTTACACGATCCCTGAGAAAACATTTTTCATCACGAAAGCGTGAAGGAGGGTCACAATGAGTCATTGACAATGACGTTACCGAGGTGGTTTTTGACATCATCAGTGACCTCACTTTAGGGAAAACTGTGACCCCGTCGGTCATAACGAGACCGCGAAATAAAGGTTGCCCCACGGAAACGTTACCTTAGGCGATGCTAGGTAAAGTTGGGCGGCAAACAACGTTCTCTTCTCTTGCCCAACGCTGTGGCAATTGGACACTCTGGGCGGGCCGCCGTCTTCGCACGGCTGCTTGGCGGGTTGGCGTACCCAGCGCGTCGCAGGCGCTGTCATTGGCGTTTGTTCTCATGGGACTGATGAGACGCGATGAGACGTTCATTGTGGGGACACCTTTACGATGCCATTTTCAGAAAAAACGTTGCGGTCCTTGCGGTGACTAAAGAATAACATACACCAAATGCCATCCATGTGCATTGTGCAGCTCTGCTTCTGTGCCTCTGGCTCATAAATCTCACACACACACACGTAAAAAGGAAACGATGAGCCAAATGAAATAAAATGTCGGTTGGCTGATTAACCCCGCGCACTTCTGTTGTTACCGGTACCACACGCAGAAGTGTGGGCCGGTTTGCCGACCGCCCCTGATGGTGGGGCCGAAGAAATGCACTGAGTTGATCAGCCACCTGGTTTGTGCGAGGTCTGGGTATCAAACCAAACAACATCGTGCTCTGTCGAGGAGAATTCCTGTTCTTGTTCGAGCCGTTCGCTTGTCTCCTGTCTGACTCTGTCTCTCTTCCTCTCCGCTGTATTTATCGATGCTGCCGCCCGCCCCGCCTTCCGTGCTCGTCCCAGAGCACACGTAAGTACCGAGTGATGCAGTGACAGTGACGCTCCTTTGGTTTGCAGGCCCGCCCAGCAGCCGCCGACGCCATCCCTATCGCCAGCGCTCCACCACCACCACGCCCACCACTACCAGCACCAACACCTGCAGCAGCAGCACCACCAGCCCAGCCAGCCCGTGATGGCGCCCCACCTCGGCGGCCACCACCTCCACCACCACCACCAGCAGCACTACCCCATGCACGGCTCCCCCTCGCCCTCGCCGCATCTGTCCCACCTGTCCCAGATGTCCCACATGCAGCACCTCGCCCAGATGCCCCGCGGCAGCCCCATGGGCGCCCACATGCAGCCCAGCCCGATGAGCAGCACCCCCAAGCAGCAGGAGCCCAACCCCTACGAACGGGAGTGGAGGATCTAACGCCGGGCCTCGACGCTAACACCTTAGCTAAAGGCCACTTACTGGCGCTTACATACCGGCTGCCTCCCCACTTTCGCCAACCCCTGCTGCCCCGCCTCGTGCTGAGCAACACCGTGCGAAAGGTTTTCGTGGGTTATCGAAACGTTATCGGCGTTATCGTCCACTTGTCGTCAACGAGTCAGACGCGACACATTCAACGATATTAAAATGACATCGTTTCGATTCTTTCCGCACGGTGATGCGTCCAGCGCGTTACCTTGCTCGGAGGCATGAAAACATATGAATTTGAACCCATCTGAAGACTTTGAGTTTGATTGCTCTACAACATCTGCAATTTCAGCCTGCCAAAGCACAATGACCTACTGTGAAAGATGATATTTTAACTAGACTTACTGAGGTCCTGGCGTACTAGGTATATGGTTTTCTTCAATTTTGCATTAGGAGCAAGATATCATCATTTGATCTGGTTTGGTTCATTTTCCATTTTTGTGATCTTACAATGTAGTTGAGTTTCCACACCCCCTCCAAACGGCTGTCTATGTATTTCTGTAATTTATGGTTTCTATTGAGGAGACGTGTTCAGTACAACTACTTCATAATGAGTTTGTAAATTAATTAATTCCTTGACCAGCAGGGTTCAGTCAATCTCTTATAGCATGGTTTACAAAAGTGACTACTTTGTCAACACTTGAACTTTTTCTTTTTATAATCTAGAACCCTGGTGAAACATACAAATTTGCAAATTTTTAGGTTCACATAGTGAATTGGGCTCTGATAAGCCTGAGCAGAATTTCTGAGCGCCATAAAATAAACCAAGAACCTTTAATGCCATTTTTTTCTTGCTTCTTTCCTGATTCCAAGTGTACTGAAGAATAATTAATATTCTAGTAAATTCTAGATAGATTTTTACACTTTCAAGAAAACATTGTAAGTAGAATTACCTCAGGAGCAGTTGTTATACTGTAGTTAAGTTATAATACCTTTAAATCGGAAAATGGCTGCAAATCGCTCAAATACCAACATCATAGGAGAAACATGGCAAGCATTCCAAAATGAGAAGACAGACATTTCCGATTGTGGTATTTTCTTGAGCACAAACTTCTGATTTTAAGTGATAAACTAAAAGTTAATGTAGACCTTTTTTTCTTTTTTATCAAGAGACTGCTATATAATTAATTGACATCCTCTTACCTTCTAACCGCATAACGCATGCAAGCTCAAGGAAGTGGCTCTAGACAAAAATAAATTTTTTGTTTTGCTTTCAAGCAGTTTAACAATTAAGTTTATATCAAGATAGTACTGTTGTAAGTCCTTAGCTAAGACTCAGCTAAATTTGAGATCAAACCAGGTAGTCTGGTAGCCACTTCCCATTTTCTTACGGCTTTTTTGACCATGTATGTATTGTATTTTTTCTATTCAATTAAACATCTCATTCAAAGTAAATATACATAGTTTCCTGTTGATTTCTTTGAACTTGAAAAAGTAAACTAAAGAGCAAATTTTTAAGATAGATAATAAAATTAGGTACCAGGGATTTTATTTACATTTTCTGCTGATTATTACACAGACAATCAAAATAACAAGCAAATGGACAAGGATAGAAACTAATATATTTACAATATTTACTTTGGTGGTGGCCACTTCCACTGATCAGCTTCTGGTTTGGTAACTAGAGGTTCCCAAGGCTTCCATGCTAACATTTTACGAGCAAGAGAAAGTTCCTTATCAGCTTGAATGATCAACTCTTCAATCTGACCACTGTTCAATTCTTGTTCAACTCTCTTCCAGTCATCACCAGCCTGCAAATTAATACACAATTACAATTAAACCACTTAGTAATCAAGTAAACAAATAATCAGAGGTTTAGGAAACCACATGAACTGCTTAAGAGAACACAACTCTCAGAAATCGTCTTACCCTTTCAACAACTGCTGCTCGATCCCGAACCACCGCTTCAGTATACTTCCTATACGCTGCATCGTCAGGCATCTTGGCAGTAGTACGGAGTATTTTCCCATAAATACCAGAAAGAGTTTTCGTGGGATGACGGGCAACCTTCATGCCTGTTAGGCCAGTGGCCAGCTAAATAAAACCAAAACATGAGTTGTGAGCCTTTTTGAAAGTTTCAAGATCAACACGGCCAATTATAGTTCAGGTACAGAGATACATTGGAAAAGAATCACGCAAAATAAAAGAAGGAAATTCACTACAGAAACGTACAAGATTAAAAGACATTTCAAAGAAAGTATAAGGGGATAATATTTATCAAAAGTTAAATCGACGGAAAATGAGTTGAAGGTTATAATATGAAAAGATCTTTCACAAAATTTGACAACTAACAACTGAGTGATACAACACTAATATCATGCATTGTTGAGGTTTTGAGGATAAAAACTACGGCACAAACCTTTAGGGTAACCCCAGCCATGGTCAAATTTGTACAATTTATCGGATTCTCATCAAACAGTCGTCTGCAAGTGTCCAAGTTTCTTTCTACTGACAAGAAGAAGAGGTTAGGCTTGTGGGAGGATTTGAGCTAAACAGGCTGGGAGTTTATAGCAGCAGTAAAACATGAAACGTAGGTTTAAAAAAATAATGAAGGGCAAAACATCAAGATATT